TCCTTAAACAGACCTTTTAGACTGGAGAAATTTTGGATGTCTCACCCAAAATTCCCACAACTCCTTCATCAATCTTGGTCTGGGCCCCCCTCTGTTATCTCCAATTCTATCGAAAACCTCACTTCTAACATCCTTTCCTGGAGTAAAAAGACCTTTGGGAATATTTTCTTTAAAAAAAAGAGGATCCTAGCCAGACTCCAAGGGGCTCAAAAAGCGATGCAATCTCACCATTCTATATTCCTAGAGTCTTTAGAAAAACAGTTGCTCTTTGAGTATGAGGAAATCCTTCATCAGGAAAAATCCCTCTGGATTATGAAATCTAGATTGGACTATGCTATATCAGATGACCTCAATACCAAATTTCTACAAACTTCTACCCTCTGTAGAAGGAAACGGAATAAAATTGTTTCCTTGAGAGATAATGAAGGTAAATGGCTGACCAATAGTGATGTTGTTAAAAACCATATCCTTGATTTCTTCTCTTCCCTATTTACTTCTCACCACTCTCAGTCATCCTTTTACCCACAGAATTTCCCTTTTCAGAAATCTTATCTGGAGGAAGAAACCAAAATATCCCTAGTCACCCTCCCAACCATCCAAGAAATTAAAAAGGCTGTTTTTGATTTGAAACCTCTCAAATGTCCTGGGCCGGATGGCTATCACCCTATTTTCTACCAGAAATTTTGGAATTTCCTTGCTCCTTCAATCACCCAATTCATACATGATGCTTTCAATCAAAAGCCCCTTCCAGTCGGGATTAACGATACTTTAATTTGCTTGATTCCCAAACTTGACAACCCGGATATCATTCAGCAGTTTAGACCCATAGGACTCTGCAATACCACTTATAAAATACTAGCCAAGACCATTGTTAATAAACTTAGACCAATCCTTTCAACCATCATCTCCCCTCTCCAATCCAGCTTCATCTCGGGTAGAAGTGGAACAGATAACATCATGCTTGTCCAAGAAGCCATTCACAGGCTAAAAAATAAAAAGGGCAAATATGGGTTGTGTGCCATCAAGCTTGATCTTCATAAGGCGTATGATAGTCTTGAATGGTCTTTTATTCATCAAGCCCTCACTTTCTTTGATTTTCCCCCATCCCTCATCAACCTCATTCTTCATTGCATTACATCTACCAATTTGGCCATACTCATAAATGGATCCCCAACAAACTTTTTTTCCCCTTCTAGAGGCATTCGACAAGGAGACCCTTTATCCCCATACATCTTCATTATTTGCATGGAGTACCTGTCAATGGCTATCACCAAAGAAGTGGATGGTAACAACTGGACCCCTCTCAAGTTTGGGAGATCTAGACATTGTCTGTCACATTGTCTGTTTGCAGATGACATCATCCTCTTCTCAAGGACAGATGACACCTCTATAACCACTATCCAAAATATTCCCCAACATTTTTGGGGACCTCTCTGGCCTCCGTATCAACCACTCCAAGTCAAGGATTCTATTTTCCCCAAACACCCTTGAATTCACTAAAAACTCTATCACCAGGACTCTAAACATTCAGGGTACCCGAGACCTAGGAAAATACCTTGGCTTTCCACTTAGTGTTAAGAAAGCAACAACCAAAACCTTCCACTTCCTTTTGGAAAAAATTCAATCCAAACTCCAAGGCTGGAAAGCAAACCTGTTGTCCTTTGCTGGGAGAAAGACAATTATCCAACAATGCATATCTTCCATCCCTACCTATTTCTTCCAAGCAGCACATATCCCAAAAAAAATCTGTGATGCCATCGATAGAGAACAGAAAAATTTCCTCTGGGGCTCCACAGAGGGGAAGAAAAAACTCCACTTGATTAAGTGGGAAACTGTTACCCTCCCCAAAAAGGAGGGTGGTTTGGGATTGAGACAATCAGCCCTTTTGAACAAAGCTAATTTGGCCAAACTCAATTGGCAGATGATGAAAAACACACATCGTCCTTGGGTTCAAATTCTTTCAGATCTCTACTTACATAGAAACCAACCTTTGAAAGAATCCCCTCTTAGCTTCTGCAAATCTAGAGGTTCCATAAACCTCAGGAATATCATACACGGTAACAACATCTTCAACCAAGGGTTGGGTTGGAACATAGGAGATGGTAAAACAATTAAAGTGTGGTCTGGAAAATGGTTCTCAGCAAGCACCCTCAGATCCTTAATTGAAGGACCACTCCTACCAGAGGAAGATCAACTACTCCTATCAGATCTTTTTGACAGCAATGGTAATTGGAATTTCAATAATATTTCCTTCCATCTACCCCCTTCCATTACCGACCTGCTAAAAGCTATTCCTAGACCTCACCATTCTAAACAAGCAGACAACCTTATATGGAGGAATTCTCCTGATGGTGAGTTCAGTCTAAAATCTGCATATGAGATCACTAGTTTGCTATATATTCAGGCCAAACCCAATGTCCAAACACCCCATCCTCCAAGCCAGTCTTTCACTTGGATTTGGACTACTCACACATCCCATCGAACCAAATTATTCCTCTGGTTAGCTTCTCAAGACAAACTAGCAACAAGATACCTCCTTCATAAGAGAAACATCCTCCCTGATAATATCTGCCCTTTCTGCCCAGGACTGATAGAGGATACTAATCATGTCTTGCGCAAATGTGTCCACGCCCAAGCTGTTTGGATGGAGCTCAATCCCAATTACTATCTATCCACTCTACACATTCCTTTTCACATCTGGATTAGGGAAGGTTGTAAACTTTCCACACCCTCCCCTTTCTACAATATTCCTTGGGGCACACTCTTTGCCTTTACTTGCTCCACCATTTGGAAATCCAGGAATAAAAAGATTTTCGAGCCCAACAGAACACAACCTCCTCCAACCAAAACCAGCATCAAGTTGGCCACTGAGTTCTACTCCCTTGGCCCAAATTCTGGCCACCCCCCTCGCAGAAAATCCCATATTCTTATCAGATGGATTCCTCCAATCCTCCATTGGTTCAAGCTCAATTCAGACGGCTCAGCCTTAGGAAACCCAGGTCCAGCGGGAGCTGGAGGTGTTATCAGAGACGCCTCCGGATGTTGGATTAAAGGATACTGCAGAAACTTAGGTTCTACAAACAGCATGCTGGCGGAATGTTGGGGTATCCGAGATGGACTAGAAATAGCCCTTTCCTTAAAAATTTCTCAACTTGAAGTTGAAGTTGACTGCGAAGCTATTATTACTTTGTTAACAGCTGTTGCCAATCCTAATCACCTTTTGAACTCTATCATTTCGGATTGCAGATCCCTCCTTTCGCAGCTGCGGCATGTTAAAATATCCCACATATACCGGGAGGCAAATAGATGCGCGGACGCACTCGCAAGAATGGGAGGCAGATTACAATCCAACTTTGTAACTTTTGCTAATTGTCCTCAAGAACTCGCTTTTGTCTATGATGAGGACTTGAAAGGGATCTGTTTTCCCCGCACTATCTCTTTTGCTTTGTAATAGATAGGGCTAAACTCTGTTGATTATTAATATTTAATCCCTATTTTCACCAAAAAAAAAAAAGAGAGTTATGGATCCAAATTTAGTGCGTGGATACCATATCGATCTTACATTGCTTGGGCTTATCGAGTGTTGAAGTGGTTGGTACCATTTATCTTGAGAAGATGCCTTGTGGGCTTTAGCAGTCAATTTAATGACTTCCAATTTACCGATATAATCTGTTTTTTTTTTCTTCCAATGTTGTTAACCTCAAATCGGATAGCAGCTCGGCTAAACTACTAGGTAGATTGATCAGATCGATCAAGACTGTTCTAAAAAACTTGCTGCTGTCTGATACTATAATTATTTATATTTTTATAAGTTTTAAAGATATTAAAATTACGTTCTTAGTTACATTTTGGCCAACTATACAAAATGTGACAAAAATATTACGCTTGCAATCAAATATACACCTAAAAATTATATATAAAAGTGTGAATTCATGTATGAAATATGTCCACTCTCCAAAACTACTTAAAAATAAAAACAAATCATACCTAATTCGAGATCTTTTTATTCCGAATATGGTTTTTCTAATGCAAGTTGGAATTGCTGATAATAAATTGACAAGATGATAGGGATAAGAATTTCTTAATTTAGAGATTATTTAGGCATATGAATGATTTTGGCATTTATACTAAGTGGGTGATGTTTTTTTATTTCTATTAATAAAGGAAAGTTTTATAATTTAGGTAACTCAAATTATATTTGGAAAAAATAAGAAAGAAAAGTTAGAGAATCTGAGTCAAGCAATTGAATTGGATCACTAATTTGGCTGATTTTTGACTATTTTCACTGATTTTTAACTAAAGCAGTTTTGTGCTATTATAATCAACTTAAAAGGAGGAATGGTTCATGGTTGGATCGACTGGTCTAATCCGCATCTAACAACACTGTATTTGTCGGCTCCAAAAACAGTTCTTTAGCGATATTATTTGTTCATTGTTATTCTTATCTAAGGACCCCTTAATTTCACTTATTCACTTTTTGCCCAAAGAATTTCGTCATATTCACATATTAATGGCGAAATTGATATGGGGGTCTATTTAGAAATAATACATGATAAGAAGAGAATTGGGCTGATTAATTTCTCTCGTTTACGTTAAAAAGTGAATTGATTATTAATTCTAATGAATTCTTATTATTATACACGTAAGACTTATACTTATATACTTTAAGTTGATCGATTATTTTTTTTTATGTATACATACTTTAAAATAACTCAAAAAATTTATCGATTAATTTTCTTATTTATATACACTTTAAAATAACTCGAAAAATTTATCATGGTACACGACAGAAAGAAAGTGATACAAGAAGAGAGACGTAAAATTTAATCAAACTTTTATTGAGCAGAGAGAAAACAAACAAGGAAAAGATTTTTTGTCATCCCATCTCCAAGCCTTGGAGTTGGGACTTGGAAGAATTTCAATAGTACTAGATTTCAAATTAACTAACACGAGCAATAGCCAACAGAATGAACCAAAATTGGCATTAGCCAACACAGGCTTGGGTGAGTGGTGACATAGACACAACTCAAGAAAAGATGAAAAATTATGGATAAGAAGCTCCAGTGTTTAACTCCCCCTCCCAAAACATCCGAGCTTTCGATCACCTGCCAGCAACACCCCAAGCCCCCCGTGCCTCCGTCTCTTCCTCCCCAATGGCTGGTCTCACCAGCACATTCCCCATGAGACCCAGTCTTTACAAAACCCGAAGTACCTTTTTCCCCAGTTCCTACTTCTTTGGCCTCCGCCTACTTCACCACCACCCTATCACTTCCGCTACCACTATTCCCGTTTCCCTCGCATCCCGCATCACCTCCATTTCTGCCCGCTCCGGCGGCGGGGGCGGAGGGTATTACAGGAGGTCCCCGCCTCCAGTTGAGGAAGATCAAGCTCTTGATATCTCCTCCATTGGGTATAAATTTCTGTTTATTGTTGTGGGGTTTTGATTTTTTAGCTTATAGTGTGAGTTTAGTTAGTAGGCTAGAGTTCTTGAACTAATTCTGGCAAAAAGTTGAAATTTTTATCATAGCAGTTTTGGGTTTTGTGAGTTACTAAATTGTTGCAGATATAGTTTGCTTATTTCTCTGTTTGAATTGTTATTGATTCATAGTTTGATGCGGTGGTTTGAAATAGGTCTGATCAAGTAAGGCTTATTGATGAACAGCAAAACATGGTTAGCTGCTTTACTCTCTTAATTTCTAGAACCTCTCTGAAAGTAGGAAAAATGTTTAGGCAGACCATGTCTACCAGTTTAATTTCCATAGACCATGTTGTTAGGATTCAGGTGGTACTTTGTTCTACGCTTGGACTAAATGGTGGACAATGTAGTTCAAATGTGACAAGATGGTCCATGGACAGCTGGTAGACTGATTCTGCTTAACTGTTTTCCCGGACTTTCCCTTTCTCTGTGTCTTTTGGTGTGTGGTTGTATGTGGTTTCTTGTGCTATGAGCATAAAAACTGGATACTGCTGCTTGTGCTTTGTAGGTGGGAATAGTTTCAAAAAGTGTGGCACTTCAAATGGCTGAAGATGCAGAACTTGACTTGGTATGTTCTTAAATTGGGTACTGTCTATATGATCTGCTTTATTTCTTCTGTTATTAATGTCTAAATGGCCTTTATTGTTCTTCAAATTTAACATGGGGAGATGGGCCAAAAGGATCTCTATATTGTTAATCTGAATGCCGGAACTTTGACATTTCTTGCTCCATTTCTTTTTCTATTTTTAAGTGCTTTTTTACTGTTAGCTTTGGTTATGCATGACCACCAAGTGAAAAGTGTAAACCTTGAAGTTCAGTGGTACATACTAGACAATCTTAACATGTGACCTCTTGCAAGTGCAAATTCTTGCCTGTTAAAACTTTTCATTTACCAATGTACTTCCATTTATGTGTGCTTCTCTTGCTATGACCTGATGCCCAGAACTGAAATTGAAATTGAAATTAAAATTTTGGTTTTAAGATTCCAGTCAAAAGTTTTTGAACCAGTCATTTCAGATGTAATATTATTCTTAAGTTCATTATCTTCAATTGGTATGTGTATGAAAATGGTGATGCCAATTCTCTATCCATAACCTTTCACCAAAAGAGAAAGACCAAGTAGTTTTGAAGCAACTATTGGGCATCTTTTGTTCTTGTCATTAATATTTGATGTTTAGGCCCTCTTAAACCTCCACATATGTCTATTGAAGCATGAGAATCTTCGGTCACAAAGTACCTCATGGTATGATGAATAATCTCTGCAACCTTAAAATTCTTATCTTATTGAGAGCATGGAGATTACTACTCTTGTTCAACACACAACTTTTTTGTTAGTAGGATGTGATTACCGGTCTTTATAGCTGCATGTAGATTATAGTATAATGCCAATGTAATCATTAACCAGGCATTGTCCTGTGAAATTTTTTGTAGGTCATATTGTCTCCTGATGCAGATCCTCCAGTTGTACGAATTATGGATTATGAGTAAGATATAACTTTTTCATCTTTTCTTTTTTTTTAATTTTTATGGCTGAGGTAACAGCTTTCATTTATGTGAGATTTAACCCTTTCCTGGCCATTGTAGCTCAAAAACGTTAGAACAAACTGTGTTTATACATATTTTCTGTTAGTTATTCCCCTTTTTCAGTATCTGTTGTTTCAAATCAATTGTTCATTCCATTGTGAAAGTTTTTAACCTCTGTTTTTAAATAGGTGTAATGAAGTTCTGTTGACCTTATATTCTAAGAACAGTTTCTATTGTTCTTGTGTTTCTCTGGGTCATTATAGTCATCAATGGAGATATGAACTATTTCACACTACAAAATATTAACATTTCAAAATATTCACTTTTCTCGAGTCAATATTGTTTGATTATTCTTAATGAAACATGTAAGGCTAAATTTTATTACTAGTTGTATTTTCTAGGTTTGTGCTGATTAATTTGAAATATCCTACAGCAAGTACAGGTATGAGCAGCAAAAGAAGAAAAAGGAGCAGCAAAAGAAAAGTGCTGGTGAATATCTCCTTTTAGTGAAGTTGGTATTGTGTATCTGACTATCTGTTACTGTGCGTGTATCTTAATCTTTATTTCATAACATTGACCAGAATTTTGGTTTACATGACAGCCAGCCGTATGGATTTGAAAGAACTCAAGATGGGGTAAGATTTAATATTCCAGATGTAAATTTTGCACTAGACTAGAAGTTTGGTTTTAATTAGCTCCTGATCTGGAGTGCTGCCATGCAAAACTGAACTGCTGTTTCTGTATCTAATGCGTGGTGATCTCCTACTTTTGTATTAAGCAAATAAGATGATTTTGTATTAAGCAGAAAGAGTATTTTAGGCTAATAGATGCATGGCTAGTTTGTTTACATCTAGTTTATTTGCTTGTGCTAAAATCACCAGGAAGAACTTTTCTGTGATATTAAGTTACAATTGGTTAAAGAGATTTGATTTTTTTTTCTTTAACTGTCTTGGGTTGTATGTGTGATTCTGGTGTTGATTTGGGGTTTGATTAGGATTGTTTAATCTGCTAATTATGTTTACTAATTTGAATCTTTTGAAACATGATTGGCTATATCAATTTGGTCCATTGGTGGTCATCCACATTTTACTTTGACAATCTATCTTCAACTTTAATTCTTGTATTTACTAAGATATATGGATGCATCTTAATCCCAAAGTTATTTTAATCTGTCTACTGAATGAAGTTCCCTTGTTGTCACTCATGCTCCCAAGTAATTTTGTTGTTGTAACAGTTATGAGTAATTTGATGACAGGTATAACATTGATGTGCATGATTATTCTGTGCGTTTGAGGCAAGCACAGAAGTTTCTGAGAGATGGTGACAAGGTTGCTTCCAGTTCTCTATGAGTGCATGAATACATTCTCTTAGGTCCGAATTACCCTGCTTACTATTTGATAATTTTTAAAGGTCAAGGTCATCGTAAACTTGAAGGGCCGGGAAAATGAGTTCAGGAACAATGCTATCGAGCTTCTAGAACGCTTCCAAAGTGATCTCGGAGAGGTAGGTGATTAGAGGTAATTGTAATGGTGTCAGGGCATAATAGTGATGGATAAGAACATAAACATGATATCAGAAAAATTTATTATGTTGCAAACAAACTTAAACTGTCTGTTGTCTAAATGTTGGTTCATATTATTATGTATGATTGCTGGTTGTGAACAGAAAGAACTGAAAAATGTTTGTAGCATAGTCAGGGTCTAGTTTATCGGTATTTGTAACCTCTCTAATTTGGCTTAGACATAAATTCCTTTTTTATAATGGTTAGAACCTTTCCCTGAAGTCTACTTGTTTTCTGATGTTCTGTTCATTAATTTCCTAAATATCTTGATCAATGGTTGAGTAAGGTGCAGGCAGAGTTGGTTTATTATGTTATTTTTGATGTAGCTTACGAGTTGCTATACTTGATGTGTGAAATAATGCTGATGTATATTATCCCTGATTGGTAGAGAGGAAACTTAGCTGATACTTCCATTCGAGGAAGGCATTTTTCCACTATGCATTTGTTTATTGTCGAATACGTGTAACAGCCATTAGCTTAGAGAAGTTTTGAGCTTCCAGCTTTTATTTTTGGGAAAGCCCTGAACTTTTTGTCCAAATCTGTAATCTTTTTGCACAGTTTATTACGAATAGTCAGCCACCTATACTCTTTCTCTCCCCTCTGATGAAATCCTTTGTGGTTGTTCCTTATGTGTGCTTAAGTATACGTTTATAAGTGATGCAGGTCTGGCTTGTGGAAGCTGGCCAGAGACGTGAGATTAGGGGCAAACGCCTGATGGGGCTATATGTGAAGTTTTGGGTGGCTTAGGTAGGAGTAGGGATGGACTGTTTTGCAAGGGAGCGGCGAGGGGAGGGGAGGATAGGGAAATGTGGTGCTGCCTATGTAGGAAACAGGGTTAATCGTAGGGGAGAGCAAATGGATTCAGGAGCTTGTTAGGTGTCAGTGGAAGGGTTTGGGATGGCTGCAGGGGTTTTTTGGTGTGGGAGGGAGTTGCTGGGCTAAACAGCTGGGGAAGTGTAGGCTGGAGGCCCTCTTTCTTTACACCTTACCATTGTTTTTTTGGTTGTGGAGGGGGTGGGGTGGGGTAGGGGGCAGGCGGGATAATTTGAGCAAAATTTAATGGAGCGTTTATGAAGCGGCATAACCAGTAGTTTAGTTGGCTATGTGTGATTTGCCCCTGATGCCAAAGAATTATTTTCTTCTTTAAGGTATAAACTTACCTGCAACTTGAGAGCTGTTTATGATCAAGCTTTATTCCTTCAGATAATGGATACAGTCACATGCTAATTTTTTGCCTTTTGTTCTGTTTCTGTAGATTCTTGAAACTAACTGCTGTAATAATTAACAGTTAACATCATTCGTGTTTTTGCTCATTACTAATTTTAGCGATCATGACTTTGAGTTTGAAACCTTTATTTTATACTTCTTTTTCAAGTTGGCTAAGTTTGCTTGTCATTACGTACAGCTAGCGACTCGAGAGAACAAAAACTTCAAAGACAGGAATGTATTTATAATTTTGGTTCCAAACAAGGTTGTTGTACAGAAAGCTCAGGAAGAGCAAAAGAAAAAGGATAAGTCAGTGGCAGCTGAAGTCTCAGCCAGTGTCTAGCCTTATTCCAGATGTGATGATCCTTGAGACAGGAAGTTAGCTAGTAGCATACGCGTTTGTATACAGCTGATATCAGGAATCTCACTAGGATTTATTGTTCTTTGTATAGAAGTAGTGATATATACTGTTATGAGTAAATAGCTTTGCTGCATTTTCAATAGCAACCCTTTGAATTTTTTCTCTGGCATCTTTCTATATGATGGTTATTCTAAGCTTTTTCTTGTAGCCAATGTTTTCCTTTTCATCTCCTTTTGATGCTAGCTTTAAAGAAAACTTCCGTGTTAAGTCTTGCTGTGCAATTATATGTATCAAAAACTCAAGATTTTGAAGCTACAATTTGCTTTTGCATTCTGAATTGTTTAAATAGCGACTGCAATTCCAGCCTTAACGGCAAAGCAATCTAGCAACTCTTAAATCTGATGATGACAAGGAAATTTCTCCTATTTATGTTCTTTCAAAGTTCTGATGATCCAAATGTCGATGAGGGGGTCTCTTGGCATTGAACTTGGCTCCAAGGAAAATCCCCGGATGTGTGTGGAACTAAACAGCCTACCTGATTCACCAGACTAGGCGAAACTCTTCTTTCCAGATGTGGAGTTGCCAACTGACAAAACCAACTTTTTTCTGCAGTGTACTGGTGCATGACTTTCTTTGCAAGTTCTTCAAAACCAAGCATTCGCATGCATTTCCCTGCAACACCTCACCTTCCAGTTATTAAGGATTAATTCTGCATTGCGGCCTTGAAACATTATTGTCATTTTAGGTTTTAATGTTACAGGGAAATGTCCTCGTACTATATTTAAGCTTAATGCCACTCTGAAAACTAAACAGAGTATTGCTCGAAAATGAAAGTTTGATTTTTTGCTTCTTGCCCAACAAACTCTTCAAGTAAAAGAATGTTAATTTGGGTTGGGACCTGAAATAAATTCTACTCGATTTATTTGATCATATATAAGCTAATGAAATAATTGCTATATATTCTGCAACAAGATTCATAGAGGCGCAATGGATTATATGAACAATTGGCTACTGTGGCACGTGAAAGCTCAATCACTAAGAAATTTGGTAAGGGATCTTTTGTGCAGGCATAGCAATTCAGCATGATTTCACTATACCTACTATGAAGTAATGGCCAAACTAAAAAGGCTTGAAAGATGGACTTGGCTCCACAAATTAATTTGCCCCTCCCTCAACTTCTTCAGATAATGCAGTGGTTATTTTTTTCAACATTTACACGTATTTACATTACTTAATTTTGACTTTTCAGTTAAAAAAACTTGAAATGCTGCTCCTAATTATTCTTGACATCCATAATTATCTTGCTAATCATATTTGAAGAGACGACTAATGTTTAAAGGATCATGAATGCTATGAATAACATCTGATTTGCAAATGCTCAGGCAATCTATGTTTACGTTATTATACTTGTACTTACCCTGAGTGAATACAAGAGATAATAACGCGTGAATTCTGCTTATGCAACGTCCACTTCAGGATCAAGATTGCTGAATCAATAGTAAATAATTCGGAAATTGAATCCAGTTTGGTAAGAAGACAAGTAGCCAACAAATGTAACATCAAAATTTTCCCCAACAAGACCATTTCAACCCCGGAAATAAACATAAATAAATAATGCATAAAAAAAAAAGTGTGTCAAGAAAAGCCAGGAAAGAGAATGTACATGGTGGTTGAATAGACGAAGCTTTGCTTCAAGGCAATGGAGACTCTGCAACCAACAGCGTCCTCTTAATGTGGACACCTAATAGGTGCGAAAGATAGAGAGAGAGAGAGAGAGAGAGAGATGTTAAGACAGATACAAAACGATGCCTTCCTCGTACCTTAAAAAGAACTCCTCTTCATACCACCCTTAGTCCTGTTCCTAGCTAGACAAACATTTTTACCACCACCACCCCCGCCCCCTCCTTCATTGCACCCTCATCTCCACCATGGAAGCCAGCGCAGGACTTGTCGCTGGTTCTCACAACCGGAACGAGCTTGTTGTCATTCATGGCCATGAAGAGGTAGATACACAGAGCGATTGGAATTGTAAAGTCTAAGCATTAATTTTGCTTAGTGTGATTAAGTATGCTGTGTAACTAAGTTTTCGTTGGTTTTTATCATGTTCATTGCAGCCTAAGCCCTTGAAAGATTTAACCGGTCAAGTTTGTGAGATATGTGGTGATGAGATTGGCCTCACAGTCGATGGAGACTTGTTCGTGGCTTGTAATGAGTGTGGTTTTCCAGTCTGCCGGCCGTGCTATGAGTATGAGAGGAGAGAAGGCACTCAACTTTGCCCTCAGTGCAAAACAAGATACAAACGACTCAAAGGTAAAGGAATATAGACTTGTCATCAAAGAAAACTCAAACCCTATGCAACAATAGCATTAACACATCCTAATGCTTCAACTTTGCCACTCTCTTGAGATGAAATCTATTCAGGATTAATTTGACCTTTCTCTGACTTTTATTTTGATCTTCTTTCTTGAAGGGTGTCCAAGGGTGGAGGGCGATGATGATGAGGAAGATATCGATGACATTGAACATGAATTTAACATTGATGATGAACGAAACAAAAATACTAAAATTGCTGAAGCAATGCTACATGGAAAGATGAGTTATGGACGAGGACCAGAAGACGAAGAAGCTGCCCAATACCCTCCTGTCATTGCTGGTTTCCGCTCTCGGCCTGTAAGAGAAAAACATACTTCATTATCAGAGCTTGCGTATCATGCATGAAGTAGTTGTACCAATTTACAGTGTACATTCATGATATCTGGTAGAATGAGTTTGCTTAAAGTACTAGCATGGTTTAGTAAAAACTTGCTGTGGTGATTTGGAAAAAAAAAAAAAAACTGACATGTAGTTATGCATGCAGGTGAGTGGTGAAATTCCTATATCGACTCATGCTAACGGAGAGCAGATGTTCGGCTCCTCCCTACACAAACGTGTGCACCCATATCCAGCTTCTGAGCCTGGTATACCCCACATACGGCCCATATGATTCTCTCGAACTGATGTATGTACCTTAATCTTATTATTGACATTGTTTTCAATGAGATGAAAATACAGGAAGTGCAAGATGGGATGACAAGAAAGAGGGAGGTTGGAAAGAAAGAATGGAAGATTGGAAGATGCAGCAAGGAAATATAGGGCCAGAAGCTGATGATGCTGCAGACGCTGACATGGCTATGTATGTATCCAACTTCATCTTAACGTAGTTTCTTATGAATCTCTGACCAAGAAAAGCACAATAGCCATTTTCCTTTGTCTTACAAGGGGAAAGGTTATATTAAACTTGAAATGCAGTAATTGTGGCTATGGTGTAAAAACCAACTACCACACCGGAGTCCTTTGAATCAAGCAGACATTTTTATTGTTATTCTTAGATGAACAACATCAATTTTCCAGATCTAATTGTATTCAAAGTAGTTTGCATGACAGGAAGCATTGCATAGATTTTTCAAAAAGTGTAAACTGTTCCAGTTGCTGGCGAAGGATGTCTTTGCTCATGTTTAAATATTTTTACAAAATGCAGGATAGATGAATCGAGACAGCCACTGTCAAGGAAAGTACCAATCGCATCAAGCTTGGTAAATCCTTACCGGATGGTGATTGTGGCTAGGCTCGTGGTTCTGGCAATCTTCCTCCGATATAGAATCCTGAACCCTGTGCATGATGCACTTGGCCTCTGGCTCACTTCAATTATATGTGAGATCTGGTTTGCCTTCTCATGGATTCTCGATCAGTTTCCCAAGTGGTTTCCAATCGATCGGGAGACTTACCTGGATCGCCTCTCTCTCAGGTCGACATAATTATGTACATAATATTAGCAGTCAGAAATTTTACATTTTTCAGTTCTGATCTCATTTAAATGCTTTAGAATAAACTTTAATCAGTTGTAATATAAAGTCCTAAAAAGGAATCAGAGCTCCAGATTAAATTTCTTCAGTAACTAGAGCTCAGAAAAAGAGTGAAATTGTAGGAGTAAAGAGAAAATTTGGTTTTCAAAAACTAAACTCGTACAGCATAGGTTCCTTAAGTTTGTGCTTATGCTGGTAAGGATTTTCTAGAACCCTGTAGCGAAGCAACTGACATCAGAGAGCACGAAAACAGGAGATGTTTAAAGAAGTTGGCACAATCACCTTTGGTAAGAAAATATTGTGAATCTTGGGGAGAGATTACCCCATAGTCGTAATAATGTGAAAGAAAAACAGCTGTAATGAATCGACTTAAATCTGTCAAAACCAATACATAATTATATATGATTCACAATATCAATATTCCTGTTCAACAAAAATGTCTCCGTAGTAAGGGAGACGATTAAGTGAAATTTATAGTTTTACAGACCCATAGAAAATCTGAATATTTATACCTTTAATTTGGATCAGAGCAATAATCCCTCTAAACCTCACAGCGTTTCTTTCGAAATATTCAAGAAGACAGGAATGCTGCAACAGATACAAATTTTTCACTGTTTGAAGCTATAATGTTGGTCAATTTCTAATGCAGGTACGAGAGGGAAGGTGAACCTAATATGCTTGCCCCCATTGATGTCTTTGTCAGTACCGTGGATCCAATGAAGGAACCTCCTCTTGTTACCGCTAATACAGTTCTCTCAATATTATCAATGGACTATCCCGTTGAGAAAATCTCATGCTATGTATCTGATGATGGAGCTTCAATGTGTACCTTTGAATCACTATCAGAAACTGCAGAATTTGCTCGAAAATGGGTTCCCTTCTGCAAGAAATTCTCTATAGAGCCTCGAGCACCTGAGATGTACTTCTCGCTGAAGATTGATTATCTGAAGGATAAAGTGCAGCCGACCTTTGTGAAGGAGCGAAGAGCCATGAAGGTATAATTTTAAACACTTAAAAAGAGGTTTAAAAGAAGAGACGAAAACAAGAGGTCATGTATTTTGAACTTAACATGTTGTATTGTTTTATGACAGAGAGAGTATGAAGAGTTTAAGGTTAGAATCAATGCTATGGTGGCTAAGGCTATGAAAGTTCCTCCAGAGGGGTGGATCATGCAAGATGGAACACCATGGCCAGGAAACAATACTAAGGATCATCCTGGTATGATTCAAGTCTTTCTAGGTCATAGCGGCGGCCCCGACGTTGAAGGAAATGAACTTCCTCGGCTTGTTTATGTTTCCCGTGAGAAAAGGCCTGGTTTCCAGCATCACAAAAAAGCTGGTGCCATGAACGCCCTGGTAAAGATCACAAAGATCATCAATGACCTTGCACATAACTAAATACAACCATCCTGCATCTTCTTCTCTCCACCAATATTTGTCTTTGTCCAATGCATTCTTGTTTGAAGATAATTTGACCATTTAAATTTACAAAAAATAAAAATCTCACATTCAGCCATTATGTTCAGAAATGTCTCACTTGAGAAAAACTTTGCAGGTCCGTGTCTCTGGTGTTCTTACAAATGCTCCATTCATGCTGAACCTGGATTGTGACCACTACGTAAACAACAGCAAGGCTGTCAGGGAAGCAATGTGCTTCTTGATGGATCCACAACTTGGAAAGAAGGTTTGCTATGTGCAATTCCCACAGAGATTTGATGGAATAGATAGACATGACAGATATGCCAACAGAAACACGGTCTTTTTTGATGTAAGTCTCAGCAAAACCATAATTTTCTACGATATATAGGGTACAAACAAGACAACCTCTAACTTTCCATGTGGATGTGATGCCATGTGTAGCCAACCATCTAGAACATAGCCATTTGATTTTCATTGATGCGTCTTGCTTTTACCACACATATATTAAGTACAAGGGCTTTGCAACATGCAGTTGGGTTGGATTTATGGCTCTATCACAGAAGATATCCTAACAGGGTTCAAGATGCATTGTCGTGGTTGGAGGTCAGTTTACTGTATGCCAAAACTAGCTGCATTTAAGGGCTCTGCTCCGATCAACCTATCAGATCGTCTCAACCAGGTGCTTCGGTGGGCTCTTGGTTCTGTTGAGATCTTTTTCAGTCGACATAGCCCTGCCTGGTACGGCTATAAAGGAGGAAACCTAAAGTGGCTTGAGCGATTTGCATATGTTAACACAACCGTCTACCCCTTCACCTCTTTACCTCTGCTTGCTTACTGCAGTCTCCCCGCAATCTGCTTACTGACAGGAAAGTTCATAATGCCAGAGGTAATAACGTCATGATCCTCATCTCTGCTGATAAAATTTATTAACTGCAGGCAGATGACAGAACTAGAGCTCCCAAATGATTTTCATTTTACAAAGTCTATATTCTTCCTTTTGACTGCTGCAAATATGTCTTCGTTCTCCTTGATTCAGATAAGCACCTTTGCAAGTCTATTCTTCATTGCGCTCTTCCTCTCAATTTTCACTACTGGCATCCTTGAGCTAAGGTGGAGTGGAGTTAGCATTGAGGAGTGGTGGAGAAATGAGCAATTTTGGGTTATTGGTGGTATCTCTGCTCACCTGTTTGCTGTCATACAAGGTCTTCTAAAGGTTTTGGCTGGGATTGACACCAACTTCACTGTCACATCTAAGGCATCAGATGACGATGACTTTGGTGAGTTATATGCCTTCAAATGGACTACCCTGCTCATCCCACCAACCACTATTTTAGTAATCAACCTAGTTGGTGTTGTTGCTGGGATCTCCGATGCCATAAACAATGGATATCAATCATGGGGTCCTTTATTTGGAAAGCTCTTCTTTGCCTTCTGGGTGATTGTCCATCTCTATCCATTCCTTAAAGGTCTCATGGGTAAGCAGAATAGGACGCCCACAATTGTCATCATCTGGTCGGTACTTTTGGCTTCTATATTTTCCTTGCTCTGGGTCCGAATTGACCCGTTTATACTGAAAACCAAGGGTCCTGACGTAAAACAATGTGGCATCAATTGCTGAAACAATCTCAATTTTCAAGTGAAAGCTGCATTTTGTGGACAGATGCGTATACAGTCTGCTGTTGAAGGTGTAATGTATGACCAAGCAAAGAGGAATTACAAAAGAAAGAATAAGTCACCTGTAAAATTTTTGTTTAGCAAAAGAATGATACTCAATTTTGTATATGACAAACATAGGCGTGCTTAAGAAGTTTTCTATTAAAAAAGTATGCAGCTTGGAGATCAACGTGTTTCCCATTTTCCCCTTTTCTTTGTTTCTTCTATTTCCTCTGACCTTGAAAATGAAACTTACTTTAACAAGTCCTGTGAGCAAAGAAGGCGTGATGATATTCAGAAACTCTTTGAATGTTTTTCAAGGAAAATGACAAGCATGTATAATAAGCAAATACATAATTGGGATCATTGCCCTAAAGAAATATCAGGTACTAATTCTGTGATTTAGCTCATATTCATGAGAAAAGAGATCTTTGCCTAAAGAACAATTGGGAAGTTTTTCAGCAAAGACATCAAAATTTTATGAAAAGAAGATATCTATCCAGAACAAATCAAAGACAATTCCTCTAGAGATAAAACTTCCAACACGACAGATGCATAAGACCCAAATGCCAGGATAGCAGCTAACATAAATAATCTACCACCTTTAATTCATTCAAAATCGAACATCTACTCATCTTGAACCAACAGCACTACGTTAATGAGAGTTAAGATGTACATGATAAGCATTGTTCCTGAGAGAAGTACTTTTCCTTTTCTATTGCGAGCCTTCTTCATGTTCTTGCAAAAATTGCTAGATGCTTCCTCTGAAACCAGAGTCCAAAACAGATTAATTCTTAAGAGAACTAAGAAATAACACCATCAGAGTTTTAAAGTTAACTGATTAAGACTTTCACTCAACTGTTGTGTACAGGAAAGTGAACATGAAACAATTGTTCCATCCCGAAGCTTCATGTGAATAAGGTGATCAGATAATCATCATGTTATTCTACACAATATTAGTGGGTTTTCTTTTAAAAAAAAAATATGCATGATGCCAACAACAAGAAGAAAAGATTTACTCACTATGTACATCTGAAAATAAGCACTGGAGGATGACGCACTCCTGATTTAGCACTTCTGTAAAACAACCTCCCATGTGCCAACCTTGCAATCTTTGTGGGCAAATAGGAGGTGGTTTACCAATAATCACCACATGAACACAGACCATCATTAAAATGATGAAATCGGTTAGCATCCCTAACAACAATGAGTCTTTCAGTGATTTTCGATACAAATTTTGTGAAATTGTGGCAGTCTAAACAGACCCTGAGGTTCTTGATAATCCTGATCTCTGCTCCTGGTTGAGATGTTATGAGTCCAAAAGCAATAGCCAACTTCTCACTGTGGACCTTCACCATCAGTTCCTTCTCTTCATCCTCTACATCATGCAAAGCTATAACAGTGTCCGTCTGAAATCCTGCTTCTATCATCTTTCCCATTAACTTTTCCAGCATGGCATAAATTGCAGCTGTCTGTGGATGAGACCGGTCACTAGACTTAAAAACATATGGATGCCCATTCACCTCAATCAAAGTACAGCCAGGGGTCTTTGCAAGATTCCTTTTCTTAATCACTTGCCTCACCGATTCAGCTTGAGGATAATTACGGTCAACTGAGTGCAGATTCGAGAGTAAGACATAGTATCCTATGCTTTCAGGATCCAATGCAAACAACTTATCAGAAGCAAAGCGAGCAAGGTTACTGTCCTTGTGAATCATGCAAGCACCTAATAGTGCACCCCACTCAGCAGGACCTGGATGAATAGGCATCTGATTTATAAATTCTAAAGCATACCGTAATTTTCCAGCTCGGCCAAGGAGGTCAACCATACAGGCATAATGCTCAGCTGAGGGCGTAAAACCATGATCATGGACCATAGATTCGAAAATTTTTTTGCCTTCTTCTACCAAGCCGGCATGACTGCAGGCATACAAAACTGAAAGGAAACTAATTCCTGTTGGTGTGACTCCAGAATCTAACATCTCATGAAATAGTGATATTGCTTGATGCCCATGACCATGAAGTCCATATCCAGAAATCATTGCATTCCAGGTCACATCATTCTTCTCAGTCATGGCATTGAACAACCTCCGAGCCTCTTCAATGCTTCCAGACTTTGCGTACATATCAACCAGAGCAGTTGAAACATAGATGTTAGACTCAAAATTCTCCTTCTTTATCAGATCATGGACCCATTTTCCCAGACTTGGAGCTCCCAGTTGAGCACATGCTGAAAGAATGCTGGTGATTGTAACTGGATTGGGATGAATGTCAAGCATCTGCATTTCTTGGAAAAGAGCTATAGCCATTTCCGTTAATCCATTCTGTGCATAACCAGAGATCATTGCATTCCAGGATGCCAAACTTCTATCAGGGGACTCATCAAAAAGTCGTCGTGCGCAGTCCATCTCATTGAGCCTCGTATAAATAGTTAGCAGTGCAGTTGAAACAGAAGAATTAAAAACCATATTAGACTTTACACAGAACCCATGGATTGTCTGCGCAAGCTCCAAATGACCAAATGGAATAGACACAGGAATCAATCCAACAATGGTACTCGAATTAACCTTTTCACCCAAAACGAGCAGTTTTTTGAAAAGCCTTACGGCAGATTCAGTCTCGTTATTACCTGTAAACCCAGAAATCATGGCATTATATGCTATCAAATCTGGCTTCTTTAAGAGTCCAAACAACAATCTAGAAGTTGAAACATCTCCACACTTTGAGTAAAACGAAACTAATCCCGTAAGAACATAATCATGAAAATGACACCTAACCTTCAGTGCCAGAGCCTGAATCATCATTCCAGTTCTCAACTCCTGCAACTCAGCAGTAGCTGTAAGGACCACAGCCAATGTAGTTGAATCAAACTCAGTCCCCTCCACAACCATATCGCGAAAAGTACAAACCGCCTCATAAAAAAAGCAATTCCTCACCAACCCAGAAGCCAGAGTGTTCCAAAGGACAGTATCCCTCTTAGGAATTCCTTCAAACACCTTATACGCGCATCTAACTTCCGAGAAGCCCATATACAAATCCACCAAAGCAGAACCCACAAAGGGGTCCGAGCTAAACCCAGAAACTATCACGTGCCCATGAAGCAAAATCCCAACTTTTTCGAGCCCGGGTGAAGAAACAGCCGAAACAACGAAAGCATACGTAAAATTATCCGGTCTAAGGGTGGTTTTTTCGCGAAGATGAGCATAAACAGACAGAGAATCAAGCGGGGATTTGTTCTGGGAGAAGCCTCTGATAAGCACATTGTAGAGAAACTTATCAGGCGGGATTTGGTTGGAGAGTGAGGTGAAGAGAAGCTTGGCCTGGGATATGGCTTTGACGTCGAAGAGTTTGTGGGTTAGCTTAGTGATGGCAATGAGGTCTTTGCTCAGGCCGTTGAGAATCACCTGGGCGTGGGTTTGGTTGAGCTGAGAGAGATTTGTGGCGCATTTGAGTAGGCTTAAGAAGAAGTTTCGGTCGCGTTGAGGTGCGGCTGCCGCTGCAATGGCTCGGCAGATCATTTGGTTGAGGTGATTTCGGTGTAGAATTGTTGATGCAAATCGTTATTTACAGTTGCAATAATTCACTGGTCCGCACCATTCTAAACTTTGGCGGGAGCTTCCCCCCTCAAGGATACCCAATTTTAATATATATATATATATATACACACACACATTAAAGTGTACCACTTTGTTTATTATGGGTATATGTTAGGAAAAATATTTGGAAGACTGTGTTTTAAAAATTTTTCCATGAAATGTGATGGTGAAAATTCAAAATTGAGTATTAGAATCAGTGGAAAAAGTTGCTATTGGGCTGAATCTGAATTGCAAGATTTATATTTGGTTCTTACAAGAAAAGTTAATTTTGGGGAATTTGAAGAAATGATTTCTACCAAGTTACAGTCTTGAAGAAAGGTTTCATCCAAAACTTGGTAGACACGTACAATTATGACATGTGTCGAGTTTGTACAATAAAAAATATCTATTCAAATAAAATATAAATTTTGTATACAGTGTTAAACAAAGTCGAATCCATAGGAACTGAGAAAATTTGTTCCTCCTTGAGTTCAACGTATGGGGGATTTTATAAAAATATAAAATAAATAATTAACTAAATCAAAGCAATGCACGAAAATAAATATGAATGAATCAACAATAGATACGACTCTAACCAAAGGTGCAACTTTTTAAATACGGTCCATTCAACTGATCATCGATGCAAAGATAATTCAATTATTCATTAATAGATTGGTTATAGTTGCCATACATGCAATAAACAACCAACTTTTTCTTACTTTTTCAATAGTTAAGGTACGACCGTTAACTATTTCCCTAACTAAAAGATAACTCTCGGTATGATCGTAGGATTTAATTTTTCGATTACATTAAGAATTAGAAAAATCCAATCTTAACTAACAAATACGCTACGAGCGTTTGTTTAAATTAGATTATATATTTTTCTAACATGAAACAAATCACGCTAGTCGCCACTGGTATTGACTAATTAAACAATTAATTTGGCAGTGGATTATTAGATTAATTCGAATATTGGTTCCTTGACATTCAAATAACAAAACAATCATAATAAGTTAAATCAGAAAATGCACGAATACCAATGAATAAAATAAATAACTAAAAATAATTCGATTTCACAGATGTTTGGAACCACATCTTCAAGTTAATTATTGACTAGAAAAGAAGATTTAGCTACGCATCCTCAAGGGAAATCCGCAGGACTCCATTGATAACAATTGCGTATGATTTTTCCTCTAAAACTAACGAAAAGGCCAGCAGAAGAGGAGCCAAAACAAGTGACGGCTGTGTATTGTACTTCAAAGAGTCACGCTCGAAATTGTTGCTGGCCGATTCCTAATCAAACAGGAATCCAACTTTCCTAATTCCTCTTGTTTCCTACTTAATCTCAACTACTAATAATAAGATATGTTCCCTAAAATATAAAAAGGAAACTATTAAAGATAATATTCCAAGTTTTCTAATCCAATACTAAGACTAATAATGAAAATTAAAGTCTTTAAAATCTTCCTCTAAAAACTGCCCTAAGTTTGATTTGGACTTGAAAATCGAATTCGAATGTGCCACCAACTGAAAAATTATCCCTTTTAATCATGTTTTACTCCTTTTCTTATAATTAGCAGTATTAATCAAATATAAGTAGAATCCATTAATTAAA